TGAGCTGATTGAGAAGGTACGTTTTCAACTTGGCATGCCATTTAGTGGGAAAGAATCCTGTTTAATTACAGCCTTTGGGTATCATCTCAATGCTTGACGAAGAATGTATTGTACCGAAAGCCACGGACATGACCTTGGCTCAGAAGCTGAATGAGCAACATCTGGGCAAACACCCGAACTTCGAGAAGCCCAAGCCACCAAAGGGTAAGCAAGCTGAGGCTCACTTTGCCATGAGACACTACGCCGGAACTGTGCGATACAACGTAACCAACTGGTTGGAGAAGAACAAGGATCCCCTCAACGACACCGTTGTCACTGTCATGAAAGCATCAAAGGGTAACGACCTGCTCGTTGAAATCTGGCAAGATTATGTCACTCAAGAGGAAGCCTTAGTTGCCGCTAAATGTAAGTCCAAAGTTTCCTCTTCTCTCATTGCAGCTTCTGAATGACTCAATTATTTTTTCCAGCTGGTGGCGGTGGAAAGAAGAAGGGAAAATCAGGTTCTTTCATGACGGTCTCCATGATGTATCGTGAATCACTGAACAATCTCATGAATATGCTGCACAAGACTCATCCTCATTTCATCCGTTGTATTATTCCCAATGAAAAGAAGGCCTCCGGTGTGATTGATGCAGCACTTGTGCTCAACCAGCTCACATGTAACGGTGTGCTGGAAGGTATTCGAATTTGTCGAAAGGGTTTCCCCAACAGAACTCTTCATCCGGACTTCGTTCAACGCTACGCCATCTTGGCAGCCAAGGAGGCCAAGAGTAGCAAGGATCCCAAAGTTTGCGCTGGGGCGATTCTTCAGGCAATGGTGAATGACAAGAGGCTCAGCGAGGAACAGTTCCGCATTGGTCATACCAAGGTTTTCTTCAAAGCAGGAGTTGTCGCTCACATTGAAGATCTTCGTGATGACAAGCTTAACGAGATCATCACCGGATTCCAAGCCCGCATTCGCCATTACAATGCCATGAGTGAATACACTGATCGCAAGCGTCAGCTCAACTCCTACATCATACTGCAACGTAATATCCGTTCGTGGTGCGTCCTTCGAACCTGGAACTGGTTCCTCTTGTTCGGCAAACTTCGTCCTCAATTGAAGTGTGGCAAGATGGCCGAAGAAATGGCCAAGATGGCAGAAGAACAGAAGAATCTCGAGGCTCAATCAGCAAAGGCTGAAGCGGAACGAAAGGCTAAGGAGGAAGCTTGTAATAAATTGAACGCTGAGAAGAACAGACTTCTCGAACAGCTCGAAATGACGAAAGGCGGTTCGGCCTCGATTGAAGAAAAACTGACAGCGTTGAACGCCGCCAAGCAGGAGCTCGAGAAAGGTTTGAATGATGCTGCTGATAAGTTGTCCGAACAGGAGGATAGGAATGCTGAGCTCGAGAGGCACAAACGTAAGGCTCAGCAGGAAGTGGAGAACATGAAAAAGAGCATCGAAGCCGTTGATAGCAACCTTCTAAAGTCAATCGAAGAGAAAAAGGCCAAAGAAAACCAGATTCACTCTCTTCAAGATGAAATCAACGCCCAAGACGAAACCATTGGCAAACTGAACAAAGAGAAAAAGCATCAAGAAGAGATTAACCGTCAACTGGTTGACGACCTGCAGGCTGAAGAAGCGAAGCAAGCTCAAGCAGCCCGTCTAAGACAAAAGCTTGAGCAGACTTTGGACGAAATGGAGGAATCGATAGAACGAGAGAAGAGAATCCGGGCTGAAACAGAGAAAGCTAAGCGAAAGGTTGAGGGCGAGCTAAAAGCTGCTACAGAGACGATCGATGAAATGACAAAAATAAAGCAGGAAGCAGATATTTCGTTGAAAAAGAAAGAGGCTGACCTGCACGCCCTAGGAGTAAGAATCGAAGATGAGCAGGCAGTGGCTAATCGGCTCAATCGCCAGTGCAAGGAAAACGCTGCTCGAATCATCGAAATCGAAGATGAACTAGAACATGAGAGGCAAAGTCGAGCAAAGGCAGATCGAGCTCGATCAGAGCTGCAGCGTGAACTGGATGACCTCAATGAACGACTTGACGATCAAAATCATCAGATGCAAGCCCATATTGAGTTGAACAAAAAGAAAGACGCAGAAATTCTCAAGTCACGCCGTGATCTCGATGAGCTTAACTTGGCTCATGAAGATCAGTTGGGCGCCCTACGAAAGAGAAATAACGATCAGGTAGCTCAACTGACCAATCAGCTTGACGGACTTCAAAAAGCAAAGGCAAAGATTGAAAAGGAGAAAGGTACCCTCCAGAAAGAGCTCGACGACATCAACGTGCAAGTTGATCAGGAGTCTAAAGCTCGTGTTGAACAAGAACGACTCGCTAAACAGTACGAAGTCCAGGTAGCTGAACTGCAACAAAAAGTGGACGAGCAATCGAAACAGCTTTCTGAATTCACAACTTCTAAGGGACGCCTCCTTAACGATAATGGTGACCTACTCCGCCAAGTGGAAGAGCTCGAAATCCAACTCAACACTGTCAATCGTGCCAAGGCTGGCTTCTCCAGTCAACTTACGGAAGCCAAAAAAGCCGCCGAAGACGAAACGCGTGAACGCCATGACCTCAATGCCACTTGCAAGAACCTCGAGCACGAAATTGAGCAGTGCCTCGAAATGTTGGAAGAGGAGATCAACTCGAAGGATGACACTCAGCGTCAACTTAGCCGCATCAATTCAGAAATCTCTCAATGGAAGGCGCGCTATGAGGGAGAGGGACTGGTAGGATCTGATGAGTTGGAAGAGCTCAAGAGAAAGCAGATGGCTCGCGTAATGGACCTACAGGAAGCTCTCTCGGCAGCTCAGAACAAGGTCATCTCACTAGAAAAGGCCAAAGCAAGACTCCTACAGGATACGGAAGATGCTCGATCGGATGTGGATCGTCATCTTACGGTGATCGCATCTTTGGAGAAGAAACAGCAAACATTCGACAAGATTGTCGAAGACTGGAAGCGCAAGGTTGATGACATCCAGAAAGAGATCGATGCCACCACTCGTGATTCCCGAAACACGAGCACAGAAGTGTTCAAACTGCGATCTGCCATGGAGAACCTAACTGAATACATTGAGACTCTACGTCGCGAAAACAAGAATTATGCTCAGGAGATTCGCGACATAAACGAGCAGATCTCCCAAGGAGGACGTACATACCACGACTTGCAAAAATCAGTGAGACGAATTGAACAAGAGAAGGAAGAGTTGCAGCACGCCCTTGACGAGGCGGAAGCTGCTTTGGAAGCGGAAGAAAGCAAGGTAAGTCAACTGTACATAATTCGGTGAGGACATAGAAAACTATTTGTTACATTACAGGTTCTACGGTCCCAAATTGAAGTGCAGCAGATTCGTTCCGAAGTTGAGAAACGCATTCAAGAGAAAGAGGAGGAATTCGAGAATACCCGCAAAAACCACCAGCGAGCCCTCGAATCCATTCAGGTACTGTGAAATGAACCAGTAGGAGGAGAGGGTGGTATGAATACGCAATTATGTTTAAGGCTTCCCTGGAGACTGAGACCAAGAGCAAAGCGGAACTTCTTCGAGCAAAAAAGAAGCTGGAAAATGATATCAACCAACTCGAGATTGCTCTCGATCATGCCAATAAGGCTAACGTCGATGCTCAGAAGACTCTGAAACGTCTGTTTGACCAGGTACACTTTGAGAATACCCATTAAAGAATTTGATGGGGCATGCGCGAAATCTTGTCAATCGTTAAGTGAATAGTATCAGGGACCTGTATTATACTAACAAATCGTTGGACAAGCGCATTTTTCATACTTGAACGCGGGATACCTTACCAAAAATCTTTTGCCACTGGCATTTCATACTGAATGTCCTATATTTGAGCTCGAACTTTGCTCGTCACTAGTGTACAAAGCTTCTAACTCAGCTTTCAAACGGATTTTGAAAGAATGTAATTGTAGGTAAAAGAACTGCAAGGACAAGTCGACGATGAACAGCGCAACCGCGAAGAAATTCGTGAGAACTACCTAGCCGCCGAGAAACGGCTTGCCGTTGCACTTGCTGAAACGGAAGACCTCGCCCAGCGAATTGACGCCGCTGAGAAGGTACGTGAGAAGGCCTTGAGGAGGCGCAGATAGCTTCCGGTTTAATCTAGATAGAGCATACCGAAAGCGAATCAAGTAAAGAACTAATCATAATCATACATCTTTCAACCATGAGCACGATCTACCTTAGAGTTTCCGATTTCAAGTATGTACATAGACCATGAGAATAGAGAGCTGTTCGAATTCTAACTGCTGTAAGTCATACTGGGAACGATTGACGGAAAGACCGGAAAGTAGCTGC